TTTAAAATAGAATAGAATAGAATAAATAAAATAAAATAAAAAATTTTAAGTGTCAACATGATATCTACTCTCCACCCTTCTTTTAAACAACTCATACTACTTCTTATGTGTTCTTTCCCAACCTTTGCCATTATCCCTATTTGATGCTGAAAAATTTCTAGGTGACATCAAGAATATTTTTATATTATTAACAGGAGCTGTTGGACCTCAAAAGTAATGTTTCTTTTTAAAAATTGGTAGTCCAGAAATCAGTTTTGCTTTCTTTGTCCTCACTTCTGTTTCTCCATAAGTTTTGTGTGTGTGTATATATATATATATATATATATGACATGCTCTTTGCTTTGTTATTGCCATATAGTCTCAATTGTGGAGTCTTTCCACCTAGTTGACTTTGATAGATTCTATTTTAAGTAACTCAAAGGAAAAAATACAGGTAAAATTTTTATCATATTTTGTGCTTCTTTCTGTTTAGAAATTACAATGCCAATGTGAACATAATACCTGTGGGGAGAATTGCAATATGTGTTGTCCTGGGTACCATCAGCAACCCTGGAGACCTGGGACCATTTCTTCTGGTAACACATGTGAAGGTAAATACACTTAGAATTTGGAGAATGTAGGACCATTTTCCTCTTAATATGCTTACATTTTTTTGAGTTATGGTGTTGGAGGAGAATATTGAAAGTGCCATGGACTGCCAAAAGAACCAATAGATATGTTTTGGAAGAAGTGCAGCCAGAGTGCTCCTTAGAGGCCAAGATGGCCAAACTTCGTCTCTCATACTTTGGACATAATGTTAGGAGGGAGCAGTCGCTGGAGAAGGATATCATGTTTGGTAAGGTGGAGGGTCAGAGAAAAGAGGAAGACCCCCAACAAGATGGATTGGCCAAGTGACAGCATCGATGGACTCAAATGTGGCAACAGAATTGAGGTTGGCCCAGGATTGGACATTGTTTCGTTCTGCTGTGCATAGGGTCGCTATGAGTCGGTACCGACTCGATGGCACCTAACAACAACAACATGCTTACATTTACAGTGATTTAACAGCTTTTGTAATTGGGAAATAACTTGTTTCCTCAGAAATTCAAATAGTTCCTAAAGCTTCAGATTACCTTAGTAAAATTTAAACTGGTATTGCCTAACTGCATATTTTCAGATTTGATAATTTATCTACTTATAGAGTTAGCTGTTAAGGTGATATGAAATGTTGTTTCTCAAAAGAGTTGCACATGATTCCATTTTGTTGATTCAACATAATATATTCCACCAGTTCCCTATCAATGAATATTTTGTTTGTTATTAAACTTTTTGTTTAAGAAATGGTACAACGATTAACCCTGTGCATGCTACTTATATTTACTCAAGATATAATTGCAGAAGATGTGTAAGCATTACTGTGATAATGCCTCCCAATAGCCCTTGACAAGACTGCCCATATCCTGTTAAAATGATTTCTCCTCTAATTTTAATTTTATTTCATAGTCATAGAACTTTACTTAGGGAGAGAAGTCCTTTCTGTACATGGGACATCATGTGTGTATAAACTGAGATGTTGAAATATTCTCCTAGAGTGTAATTGTCACAATAAAGCCACAGACTGTTACTATGATGAAAATGTTGCACATCAGAAGAGAAGTTTGAATACTGCTGGACAGTTCCAAGGAGGAGGAGTTTGTATAAACTGTGGCCAGAACACCGTGGGGATCAACTGCGAAACCTGTCTTGATGGATATTACAGACCACACAAAGTAAGAGGATTTCTTCACCATGATTGAGCTTCATCTTCTTCCCAGATACAAAAATGATGCCTTACCAACTTTCAACCTCACTATTAGAGACACTTTTACTTTCATAATATTTCCTTTATGTTCTTATGCTATTATTTCTCCACTATAACTGAGCTGTTCAGATATGTATTTCCTAGTCTATCTGTCCTATGTTATAACTTAAGGTAAGATGCTTATTCATTATGATCTAACATGAAATTTTCAACCCACTAACCTGGTTTTTACAATAATAAATATGAATATTCAACCAATAACTTTTGCTGTTAAGTACCATTGATCGATTTCAGCTCATAGCAACACCATATAGGGTTTCCAAGGCAATAAATCTTTGTGGGAGCAGAGAACACTTTCTTTCTCCCACATAGCAGTTGGTGGGCTCAAACTTCCTACCTTGTGGTTCTCAGTCCAGTGCTTATCCTACAGAATCGCCTTAGTCCCAACCAATAACTAAAGTAATAATGTATCTTTTCCATAGGAGATGCTTAGTAAAGCCTCAATTAAATTGTTATTTAGTTGTTGTATGAGGATCTGCATTCATCTGATTATAAAACCAGTTGTTATTGGGTTGATTCCAATTCAGTGATTCCATTTGTGTCAATATAGAGCTGTGCTCCATAGGGTTTTCAGCGGTTAACATTTCCAAAGTAGATTGCCAGGCTTTACTTAGGAAGCACCTCTGGGTAGACTTGAGCCCCAGCCTATCATGTGATAGTCGAGTGCATTAACATTTGTACCACCCAGGAGCTCCCAGACTGATTATCAGTGATACTTAAAATAAGACTCTGACAGATGACAGAGAGGGTAACCCCACTGGTAAAGGGAAAGGATGACATTTTCTAGTGATGCTAACTGCTCTCACCATCAAAAGGATGTTTGAGATTTCCTGATTTAAGAGCACCTTATCTTCCTGAAGCCTATACCCCTTGCTAAATTAAATCAGTATAATAATTACATCTTGAGTAAAAAGCAGATGCCTTGTCATTAATATTATTGTTGAAGTTATTGCTGATATTGCAGCTATTTCTGATAAAATAATTTAGAACAACCTCTTTCTTTCAGGTTTCTCCCTATGAGGATGCCCCTTGCTATCCCTGTGACTGTGACCCCGTGGGGTCCCTCAGTTCTGTCTGTATTACGGATGATCTCAATTCTGACTTACAGAATGGTATGTACTTGATTCATTTTTGGGCTGGTAAGTGATTTGAGGGGATAGGATAGATTTGAGCCTGTTGTTGTTAAGTACCATTAAGTCGGTTCTGACCCAGAACAACCCTGTATAGAGTTTATGAGGAGCAGCTGGTGACCCTGAACCGCTGACTTTGCAGTCATTAACTGCAAAACCCACTGCATTAACCCACAACACCACACCAGTGCAGCAATTTGTTAATATGAATCTTTGTTGACTCTTTTGTTCACCAGTATGCTATTGATAAATGCCATCAAGTCCGTTCCAACTCATAACGACCCTTGAAAGGGTTTCCAAGGAGTGGCTGGTGAGTTTGAACCGACAACCTTGCGGTTCAAACTGACCTTGTGGTCCAGTGCATTATCCTGCAGCGCCATACATATGAGGGAGCTTCAAAAAGTTCATGGAAAATTGCATTATCTTTTCATTCCATTTTCCCACAAACTTTTTGAATCCTCTCTTTTTTATGGAGTCCCTTTTATTCAGCAGGAAGTTTTCTAGGACCCAGGAATCTGTACCTGAACAAGATCATCAAAGTCCCTGTTCACAGTCAGGCACTAAATGAACAACACAGGGACAAGTGTCATGAGCATAAAAAGCAAAGTTAGCACTTGTGTCTGGAGGGAGACAGGATGTGGAGGTAACAACCTCAGGGTGATGAAATGATGTTTAAGCAGATAAGTGAGTATTTGATGTAAGAGGATAAGGCTCAGGTTAAGCCTATCTGAAACAGTAAGTAGCATTTGCTGGTTTTAGCACCTAGAAGACACACAAAGGCTATTACAGACATCATCCTACAAAGCAAGCAAATCCTCTAGTTAGTTTTATAAATTCCGGTGTTCTTCCTAAATTAAAACTGCCTAAAGGGATTGCAAATACCAGAGTCTACCGAATAAGTTGCATCTGTTCAAAGAATTCTGTGACCCACATCCATTTCCCAGGCAGTGGCTGTTAAAATGGGTTTTGAACAATCAGGAATGACATGCATCAGGAATGTAGACGGTAAATCACACAGTTGTACTAATTGCACAGGCCACTGGTAATGGGATCAGGATAATGACGATGACAACTAGTCGTGATTGGGTTTGTAAAAAATATGTATGTCACTGAAACTTAGCAACCATGTTTTTGTTGTTAAGTACCATCGAGTTGGTTCTGGCTCAAAGCCAACCTCGCAGCTCAAACTGACAATTTGGTCCAATGCATTAACCCACAGCACCATACCAGGACTCCTAACAAACAATAGACAGAAATTATTTAACATATATTGCAGGCAACTCAGAATAGTTGGTCAAGGTTACATAACAGGAAGTTTAAGCGCTGCATTAAGAGCAAAGGCAGTGCTATTTCTCCTCCATCATTGGCCTCTGTATAAATGGTGCTTGGGTGAAAAGTGACCTTCTGCAACTTCAGGGGAAGCAGAAAGAACTAAGAACATCAGCATTGGCCACCCACTTCTGACACCAACTGTCTCTCCTACAGCACTCGATACTTCTCTGTGCTACCGTAGCCACACAAAACTCACAGGGATAGTCACAGTTATGGGGTTTATTAGGGAAGTTGCTGTTGCTGTTGTTATGTGCTGTCATGTCTGTTCTGACTCATAGCGACCCTGTATAAAGTTTCCAAGGAGTGGCTGGTGAATTTGAACCACTGACCTTGCAATTCAAACTAACCTTACAGTCTAGTGCATTATCCTGCAGTGCCACACTAGGAAGTAACAGGTTAGGGAAGTAACAGATTACAATTCAGGATCAGAAACTACTCAGGATACAGTTCTTCAATCAAAACAGCCTCTTCTCAGCTAGTCCCAAAGACATGCCTTTCTCTAGGCTTTTGCTCTTCTGCCTGGCTCCTTCCCTGCTTGGACAAGTGTTACAGTTTCTTTATAACTCTACCAATAAGTTCTCAGAGGCACTCCACTCCAACAGCAAGTCTCTGCCCACCGGGATTCAGCTTTCTCACTTTGGGGGTCCAGAAGCCCACAATACCTTCTCCTGATGGTCTTCTCATACTGGAGCCACCACTGCCCTGCCACTCACTGTCTCCAGCATCACAGCTCTGTTTCCTGAATTCAGGAGGCTTAGCACAGGGATTTTGGATCTAAAGTGCTTTTCACTCCTGGCTCTTCTTTCTTGGTAATAGTGCTATCCACATTGCAGCCTCTAGGATGGCTCATTTTAAGTCAAGAGAAATGGCAAAATGGACCAACACCCTCCTCCCTAGTTAGGATTCCATACATCTTATATGCATGGTTCCACCCCACAAGTGTGCCATGTATTTTATTTACATTAATAACAAGCAGTCTAATCCCCTCCACCACTTGTCTGTGCGTTTGTTGTACTGTGGTGGCTTGCATGTATCTATGATGTTGGAACTATGCCACTGGTATTTTAAATATTCACAGGATCACCCGTGGTGGACAGGTTTCAACAGAGTTTCAAGACTAAGAAGAAGGAGACATGGACAACTTCTGAATGTTTATCACAGAAGAGCTTATAAATAACAGTAGTACATTGTCAGACATGGTGCTGGAAGATGAAAATATTGTGAATAGCATTAAAATATTGTCAGATATAGTGCCAGAAGTAGAGTTGACCATGCTCATGTGAATGGAGTAAAGCTTTCAGAACTTTCATTTGCTGACTGGTCACAATTCAAAATGAGGAGAGATAACTGTAAACATCCATGAATAATTGGAAAATGGACAAGTCGCCTTGATTGGGAATGTATGAAGTATGAATCTAGGAAAAGTGGAAGTTGTCAAAAATAAAACAGAATGTATAAAAAGTGGTATCTTAGACATTAGTGAACTGAAATGGACTAGATTGGTCATTTTGAATCTGACAACCATATATGGTTTACTATGCTGGGAATGGCAAATTCAAAAGCAGTGGTATAGAATTCATCATCAAAAGAACATTTCAAGATCTATCTTGAAGTACAACGTTGTCTCTGATAGGATACTATCCATACATTAATACCACTGTTATTCAAATTTAAGAACTAACCACTAAAGCCAATGATGATGAAATTGAAGAACTCAACCAACTTCTTCGGAGTCCTGGTGTGGCACTGTGGACTAATGTGTCAGACTGCAAAGTCGTTTGAACTGCAAGGTTGGTGGTTCAAGCTCACCAGCTGCTCCTTGGAAACCTTATACAGGGTTGCTATGAATCAGAATCAACTCTTCAGCACTTAACAACAACAACAACCAACTTCTTCAGTATGAAATTGATCAAACAGCCAATCAAGATGTACTGGTGATTGTGTTATACCCAGAATTCGGGGTCCTCAAAGACCACCCAGGAGCTGAGCCATGTACGATGCAAATACATAAGGGTAGTTTAATCAAGCGCGAGCCAGGTCTCTAACCTTATCCGACGCATCTGAATAGGGAAAGAGCCCTGAATTCATTGTCTGCAGGGTTTTTATAGAGTTTTCAAACAGCTAAGGTTTCTCAGCTTTACAATCTTTGGATTGGTTAACAATTGGCAAACTATGAGATGTTACAGTTTAATTGGTCAGGACTGGTGGTCTTTGTTCTTAGGCTAGGGTAAAGGAAAACATCTGGCCTCTGGCATTGAGCTGCCAGGCTATTTATACATATATCATTTTCTTGGAGCTAGAGGACGTGTTCAGGCTAATGTACAGAATGGAGATTGACCTTGTCTCTGGAGGGAACTAAAAACTGAGGCCTTGTCTATTTAAAATGCTTTCCTGAGCCTGACTAGAGTTTAGTCAAGCAGTCTCTAGGTAGGCAAAATCAGGTAAAATCAGTTTGGTCCTTACAATTACTTGTGATTGGAATGCAAAGGTTGGAAACAAAGAAGGATCAGTAGTTGGAAAATATGGCCTTGGTGATGCTGGAGATATCGAGAGAATTTTGTAAGATCAATGTCTTATTCCTTGCAAATACATTTTTAAAACAGCATACAGATAGACTTCGTCAGATGGAATGTACAGTAATAAAATTGACTATAACTGTGGGAAGAGATGGTGGAAATGCTCAATATCATCAGCCAAAACAAGATCAGGGGCCAACTGTATAACAGACTATCAATTGCTTATATGCAAGTTCAGGCTGAAACTGAAGAAAATTAAAGCAAGTCAATGAGAGCCAAACAATGACCTTGAACAGATCCTACCTGAATTTAGAGACCATCTGAAGAACAGATTTGAAGCATTAAACACTAATGACCAAAGACCAAAAGACCTGTGGAATGACATCAAGAACATCATACAGGAAGAAAACAAAAAGTCATTAAAAAGACAGAAAAGAAAAGAAAGACCAAAATGGATGGCAGAAGAGACTCTAAAACTTGCTGTCTAGCATAGAGATGCTAAAGCAAATGGAAGAAATAAGGAAGTAAAAGAGCTGAACAGAAAATTCCAAAGGGTAGTTCGAGAAGACAGTCAAGTATTATAACGAAATGTACAAAGACTTGGAGTTTGCTCAGATTTCTCAAGCTGAAAGAACAGAAGAAAAAAATCAAGCCATGACTTGCAAGATTGAAGGATTTTATGGGCAAATTTTTGAATGATGGAGAAAGCATCAGAAGATGATGTGTATATACAGAGTCACTGTACTGAAAATAAAAAGTCAAATAAATAAATATATGGTCGATATTCAACCATTTCAAGAGGTAGCATATCAAGAGCTTGTGGTAGAAGTTTGTGGTACAAGGAAGAAGTGCAAGCTGCACTGAAGACATTGGCGGAAAAACAAAGCTCCACAAACTATTGGAATGCAAATTGAAATAGTTCAAACTGTTGAAGCACTGGAGCTACTCACTCATCTATGCCAAGAAATTTGGAGAACAGCTACCTGCCCAACTGATTGGAAGAGATCCATATTTGTACCCATTCCAAAGAGACATCAATGCAGAAATCATTGAACAACATCATTGATATTGAATGCACATAAAATTCTGCTGAAGACAATTCAGAAGTGGTTACGCCGGTTCTGACAGAAATTCAAATGGATTCAGAAGAGGATGTGAAACTAAGGGATATCATTGTGGATGTAAGATGAATTTTAGCTGAAAGCAGAGAATGCCAGAAAGATATTTACTTGTGCTTTATTGACTATGCAAAGGCTTACTTACAACTGTGTGGATCAAGACAAGCTAAGGATAATATTGTAAAGAATAAATAGTCCAGAAAACTTAATTGTGCTCATGAGGAATCTGTACATAGACTAAGAAGCAGTGTTCAAACAGAACAAGGGATACTGAATGGTTTTAAATCAGGAGAGATTTGCACCAGGGTTGTCTCTTTTCATTATACTTACTCAATCTGTATGCTGAGCAAATATTCCAAGAAACTTGATTACATGACAAAGTACATGGCATCAGGATTAGAGGAAGACTCTAATAACAACTCGTGACATGCAGATGATTTAACCTTGCTTGCTGAAAGTGAAGAGGACTTGAAATACTTACTGATGAACATCACAGACTACAGCCTTTAGTGTAGATTGCACCTCCATGTAAAGAAAACAAAAACCCTCACAAATGGACCAGTAAATAACATCATGATAAATGGAGAAAAGATTGAAGTTGGCAAAAACTTCATTTTGCTTGGATCCACAGTCAACACTCATGTAAGCAATAGTTAAGAAATCAAATGACATATTGCATTGGGCAAATCTACTGCACAAGACCTCTTTAAACTTTTCAAGAGCAAAGAGGTTAGTTTGAAGACTAAGGTGTGTCTGATCTAACCCATAGTATTTAAATAACCTCATATGTATGTGAAAGGTGGACAGTGCATAAAGAAGACTGCTGAAGAACTGATGCATTTGAATTAAGGTGTTGGAGACAAATATTGAGAGTACCATGGACTGCCAGAAGAACAAAAAAATCTGTGTTGTAACAAGTACAGCCAGAATGTTCCTTAACCAGACTTCATTTCTCATACTTTAGACATGTTATCAGAAGGGATCAGTCCCTGGAGAAGGACATCATGCTTGGTAGAGAGTCAGAGAAAAAGAGGAAGACCACCAGTGATAGGGATTGGCACAGTGGCAGCAGCAATGGCTCAAGCTTAACAACTGTGACAATGGTCAGGAGTGGGCATTGGTGTGTGGTGTTGTGTTGTGCATAGGGTTGCTATGAGGCAGAACTGACTTGACAGCACCTAACAACAACAACAACAAATTAGTCCTCTTAGTGGATTGCATGCACCTCATATTGGCATGCTGTTGTTGTTAAGTATAATGTTGTTAAGAACATTCAGGTATAACTTTCATGCAGACATATAAACATATATCCATAGTGTCCATCAGTTCTGAGGAGCAGCTGGTGGTTTGGAACCACCAACTTTGCAGTGCAAACTGACCTTGGGATCCAATGCTTATCCTACAGCACCACACCAGTCCTGGTGCAGGTTAATGTGCTGTGGGTTAATGTGCTGGACTGCGCAGCTGGTTTCAACTGCAAGGTTGGTGGTTCAAGCTTACCAGCTGATCCTCGGAAACCCTATACAGGGTTGCTATGGGTTAGAACTGACTCTATGGCACTTAACAACAACAATTATACAATCATTTGGTGGCAGTTACGAAGACTGTGGCTCAAAGAGCCATATCAAATAATTCCTTGCACCAAACCTCTGTGGTTTTGTTTTTGTTTTCAACAACTTTATTTTGCTATACTTAACAACAACATACTTAACAACATACCACACAGTTTAACCATTTAAAGTACACATTTCAGTATTTTCTAGTATATTCATGGCAACCACCCTATAAAATACAAAGACATTTTCATCACCCTCAAAAGAAATCCCATCCTTATAAATGGTCATCCATTTTGTCTCCTCTTCCAACCCCGCCACTCGCCCTTATCACCCACTAATGAAATTTGCAGCTCTATAGATTTGCATATTCTGGACATTTTGTGTAAATGGAGCCAGGCTGTTTGTGATCTTTTGCGACTGGTTTCTCTTACTTAGCATAATGTTTTCAAATTTCATCCATGTTAATAGCATTTATCACTACTTCATACCTTTTTATTGTTAAATCATATTCCATTGAATGGATATACTCAATTTGATTTATACATTCATCAGTTGGTGCACCTTTTGGCTATTGTAATCAGTGTTGCTGTGAACATTCAGGTATGTCTTCGTTTGGTTTTTCTTGGCTATAGGAGTGGAATTGCTGGGTCATATGGTAACTATATGCTTACCATTTTGAAGAAATGCCAAATAGTCTTCCAAAGTTGTTGCACCCTTTTGTTTTACACTTTACATTACCACCTGTTTTTGTGCTTTTTAAGTAGAGTACGCTAATTCATTACATATTGTCAATGGCTACTTTTGAGCAACAATGGCTCAACTGAGTAGTTACAACAGAGACTCTGTGACCAAAAGGCCTGAAAGATTTCTAGAAAGACCCTTTATAGAAGGAGTTTGCCAACCTCTGATGTAAACCTCTTTGATGGTCATGTTTGAACAATGCCATTTTTATCTTTCCAGGGAAGTGGCCAGGTCAGTGTCCATGTAAGGAAGGTTATGCAGGAGAAAAATGTGATCGCTGTGAGTTTGGCTATTCGGGGTACCCCAGCTGTGTTCGCTGTGAGTGCAGTCCAGCCGGCAGCGTGAATGAAGACCCCTGCACAGAGCCTTGTCTCTGCAAGGTATGTGTCAGGCCCAGGTGAAACATGTCCCTCGTACTTCCTTAGGTTTTGGCTCGGATGGTCTCCTCTTGAGTAAACGGTAATGTTAAAGCAGAACACCCCTTTCCTTATGGCTTCTTTAGAAGTATGTGACAATGTGTTGGCCATATTACACATCCCTGGATTTAGATGGCAGCTCTTTAGTTGGTATCTTATTAGCACTGGTCATATATCCTAGAGTCATTTCTGTGGCTTCTTAGATGAAGCCAAGCGTAGTATATTACTTTCTTTTAGGCCTTGGTTTGCAACTCACCTCTTCTATGAACTTTCTTTCAGTTTTGTGTATAGATGAGAACCAGGCAAATAGTAAATTTCTAAGAGCATTAATTAAAGATAGATATATGATGTTGGATTCCTTTTAAAGAGGAAATAAATAAGTCTAAGAAATGCGTTAGACTAATATTGGTGCGGTATTTTACTGGACAGTGTGATGTTAATAATAATTTTGCTTGATAATGTCTAGGGCTTCCTGTTGTACTGTATTTGATTATTATTTCCATGGAGCATATTGTTGTTGTTGTTGTTAAGTTCTGTTGAGTCGGCGCCCATTCATAGCAACTCTATATAGGATTTCTGAGGAACTACTGGTGGAGTTGAACCACCAACCTTGCAGTTAACAGTCCAGCACTTATTCTATAGTGCCACATCAGGACCCCATGGAAGCAGATGATAGGCACATTTTATACATGACTGCATGTATTTGTCACACTGCACAGTCTGAAGGCCCAGTCCTCCACAAGACTGTCATTGCTTCAGGCACCAGCCATGAGTCTGGCGGTCTCTAGGGCTACCTTCATTTCTGACTTTTGTTGTTGTTAAGTGCCTTCGAGTCAGTTCCAATTCATAGCAACCCTATATAGAGTTTCCAAGGAGCAGCTGGTGAATTTGAACTGCTGGCCTTGAGGTTCACAGTCCAGTGCTAATCCTACACTAGTTGGCTAAAAACTTGAGGGTGTCTTGATGACCACCCTCAGGTTTGATAACTCCTTAGAATGACTCGTAGAACTTAGGAAAGCACTGTGTTATGATTACAGTTTTATTATAGCTAAAGGATGCGAACCATGACCAGCCAAAGGGAGAAACAAATAGGGCAAGGTTTGTGGGGATTCCTAATATGAAGCTTCCTTGTTTTCAAAACACACCTCCCTCCCTCCCTCCCTCCCATATCATTACACTGATGTTTCATATACACAGTCTATCACCCAGGGAAGCTCACTGAAGCTTCTGTGTGCAGAGATTTGATTGACATTCTTTTACCTAGGCGTGATTGATTGAACCATTGCCAACGTAGTAGAGCTCAGTCCCCAGTTCCCTTGCCTCCCAGGAAATTTGGGTGATATCATGTGATTTAAAGTCCCAACCCTCTAGTCACATGGCTGGCCTTTCTGATGCAGCCAACTCCCATCCTAAGACTGTTGGTGTGGCCTACTTTACCTTGAGCCATCTTGGCCAGCATAAGATATCAGGTATGGTCCAAGGGTTCCATCAAGAATAATAACAATGACAGTCCCATCACTGAAGAAATGCTAAAGGTTCAGAGGTTATACAATAGGAGCCAGGGGCAAAGACCATGCCTATCTTTGGGCAAAGTTAATGTTTCACTAATCATTTATTAATTATCTATTAGTAGGAGTCCTGGTAGCACAGTAGTTAAGCTATTGTCTGCTAGCTGAGAGGTGGGTGGTTCGACCCATCAGATCTATTCCACAGGAGAATGATGTGGTTGTCTGTTTTCATAAAGACCACAGCCTTGGAAACCATATGGGACAGTTCTACCTACAGAATCATTATGAGTTGAAATCAACTTGATTCAATGGATTTAGTTTTACCACTTGTTAATGAGATAAGCAATTATATAGCCCTTTTCATGATGAAATTATATATCCCTTTTCAAATGCATGAAAGACCAGCAAAATGGAAGATTTATAACAGAAGAACAAAAGCCAGTTAAGTCTATTGTCCAAGCCCTGCATTTCCTAGCTTTATTCTTAACTATAAAATCAAATGATAAGTACTTCAAAATATTTAATTCTAGAAATGTGGGGAAAAAATGAGGTAGTTTGCTCTCATAGAGATCACAGCCTTGGAAACCCTATTGGGCTTCCTCCATCCTATAAAGTTGTTTTGAGTTGGAACCAATTAGACAACACATAACAACCAACAACATATGGAAATGTTGACTTCATGTCTGCTTATGAGTATTAATATTGTGTTTTTAAAAATATGTATCTTCCTGGACATGTTGGTTTCAAAAAACTAATCTTTCTGCCTAATTTGCAGGAAAATGTTGAAGGAAAAAACTGTGATCGCTGCAAGTCAGGATTCTATAACTTGAAGGAAAGAAACCCCCAGGGCTGCTCTGAGTGCTTCTGCTTTGGTGTGTCTGATGTCTGCGACAGTCTTTCTTGGCCCATCAATCAGGTGGGAAACAGTTTCCATGAGCCGGGGTTTAATGCTGGTAACCTCAAATGAGGAGTGTTGTGAGCTATGGCTAGGAAGCAGTGAGGTCATGTCTTCACATAGCTCCTATCCACTAGGAACAGCTTCGACACAGATCAACCACAGCCCACTACTAAAGGGGCCTTGTGTCCTGAAGTTTCTTTATAGTATAGGCCATGTGTTTGTCCTGACATACATTTTCCTGTTGAAACCATATGATGAGCTGCTGTAATGGAATGCATACTGTTTAAGTGTCTTAAAAGCGTGGAAAGTGGACAGGTCAGATATCAGCCCTGAGGTCCTATAGAATGTTCTGAGCTCTAAAAAGCTGGCAGTGCAAATAGTACCCTTCAATGGCTGGATGATCACAACTCGACTAGAGGAAGAAAGAAAAGAAAAAAAAAATGTAATCTGCTGCAATGTGATGAACTTGTCCTATACTTATGGCTGTAGTAGCTTAAAAGAGGGAAGGAATGTTCACAGCAAGGATCATTCCCACCCCCTCTGTACACAGAGTTGATAGGAAAGGGCAACTAAGACATTGGCTACCTAAAATGGGAGTGCTATAAAGGCACAAAGTGACTGGCTTACAAGTTTTCAAGAGGGAGCTTAGTTTCAGAGGGTGCAGGGGAAGGTAGAATCTCTACTAAGTAGTTTTCAACCTGTATAGATGGGGCTGGTGAAAGGAGATGGGGATAAAATTGTTGTGGTTCAGTAGTGAGTACTTGTTATCAGGACTGATTGCTATTTTTGCAAATGTAAAGGCAGACATTTTGTAACAAAAGAGGGAAACGGTTGATCTTGTAGTCCAGGAGCGGAGGACCCTGGGACCATAAAGGGAGATGAGATGAGCAAGAGCGGAGTGTGGGAAGCTATTCAGAGAAGCAGGGATGCCAGAGATGGAGGCAGAGATGATGATGTGAAGAAATGGAGCGGCTGGGGACTCCAGACTCATGGAGGGAGTGGGACTGTATACTGGCGGCTGGGCGGCTGGCATGCAGGGTATGACCTTTGGTGGTTTGAATGATTATATTCAAACCTGAGTGTTTTGGTGTACATGAAAAACAAAAACAAAAAAACAGAGGCATAGAAGCAAATACTGTTGAATGATGATGCATGGAGGGGATTTTAAGCATTGCAATGAAATGAAATATGATAGGATGAATGTAAAGCTGATGTTCTCCCATGTAAACTATCACTCAATTCACAATAAAAGCTTAAGGGAAAAAAAAGCTGGCAGGAAGAGAGAGCTCCAGTGACAAAGCAGATGGCACAGGATTATGAGAAACAGGCTAAGTACCTCCAGCTGTTTGGAGAATGCGGAGCTCTGAGGGACAGATTGAGGGTAGTGCTTGAGCAGATAACTAAGGGAGAGAGAGTGTGATGGCTGAAGGACAGGGAGAGCTGCAGGGGATGGGTCATCCTGCTGCTGTCCACCTTTCTTCCCAACTCTCCCCATCTCCAGAGACCAGTTTCCAGTACAGGAGGTATTAGTGTGGAGGGCTAGTCTTTGTGTTGCCTTCTCTTTCCTTCTTTGCCATCTTTCCATCTTATCAACACCTAAAATGAAGATAGTTCCTGTGGTCACCAGCTGGGGCTATTGTTTGTCACTTCTAAACAATACTGTTAAATTAGGAATATAGATTCTGGAGGTCATTACTATACATGCTTAGCATTGGGTTAAAGGCAGGGGCAACAGAGAAAGGAGAATCGGGATTAGCAAATGACATTTTACTTGATGCATTTATGACATTCTTTGTTATTTTAAAATGTACTAGCTAATTTTCTTATACTTGATCTGGATTTGAGGGATATGTTTGACTCATCATCAGGTTTTCTTGGTCCTTGGAAAATAAAAAGGTCACACACAAGTTCACGTGATTCTACAATCACAATTGTGTTAACCCCATCATGAGCTGAGTTGTATGGGCTTACCTCTTCATTTTGAACATATTAGTCCTGGACTAGGTGAAATTAAAGGTGCCTTCCAGTTTCTGTTCTAAAATCCTTGGGTTGTTTTTAAGGTCAAAGACATGTCTGGGTGGCTGGTCACTGACTTGGTCAGTTCGTATACAATCCAGTCTCAGCAGGATCCATTTCGTGGACGTCATCAAATCAGCATCAACAACTCTGCAGTCATTCAAAGGCTTACCTCCCAGTACTATTGGTCAGCTCCTAAGACATACCTAGGGAATAAGGTAAGGTCACAGATGAAAGGAACAGCATCTGGGAAGAAGATCTCTAAGAATATTAAGACAAACTGTCTTAAACTTAAATAGAAAATTTCATAGTATTTGCTTACATCTGATTCATAGTATCTTTTTTATCCTTTGCCCATTCTTTTATTGCATCATTAAGGTCTGAACAGACTCAACGGCACTTGACAACAACAGCTTATTCCTCTTGGCCTTGTTATTCTTGTTGTGTGCCATTAAGTTGTTTCTGACTCACATAAACCTGATAGCATCTGGTGGGTTTGCGTTGTTGACCTTGTGGTTACCTGAACTCCCAGTTCATAGGACGATTGTATAAAATTGTCTCCAGTGATGGACCATTTATTTTCCTTCCCTGGATTCTTGAACCACGTGGCCTTTTAATGAAGTATCAGTCACATTCCTGCTTTGTTCTTAGTTGGTTGTATCTTTATCTTAGCATCCCCATGACTTTGTAAAGGAAATATAGAAAACACTTAGAGGTTTGTGTAATATACTCTTTTTTCACTTTCATTACCATTCAAAACTATTACTCACACAAAGTTCACATTCAGGGAATATACTTTTAAGAAAATACAAAATAGTTCTTTAACAATATAGACTTGGTTTATATGATTTAACCTTTCCTTTCCCATGCCTTCTTACTAATTATGTCCCTCTGCCTAGAATCTCATCAACCTGAAAATGCATCCAGTGAAATAGATCTACTCAATAACTATAACTCCTCACTGACCTTAACAGTGCATTTGATTTCTTTGAAATTAATGTGAATATTTAAATTTCATAGTAGCTTATAGCTTGGTAAATTTCTAGTTCGTTTGTTGTGATATTTTAATTTTATACCTTGCTTTATGTATTTTAAATAATGTTTATTTTTCAAAATGATACATTTCCTCATCAAATTATGATCCTAGAAGATGTGGCATACATTCTAACTTAATCATTTCAGCTGACTGCATTTGGTAGATTCCTGAAATACACAGTGTCTTATGATATTCCAGTAGAGGCAATGGACAGTGACCTAGTGTCTCACACCGATGTTATCATTAAGGTAATTATTTTTACATTGTTTTGGATTGAACTTTAGGGCTTTGTGGGCAATAGATAGCTCTATGAATCAAAGTGACTCAGGGAGGCCATTTTAACCGTTATCATGACCAAGTAGCCAATCAGCAGTGGTACATCTTCTGAATCAATAAGATTCATGTGACTGAGTGAGCATATGTCTTTGGACCCATTGCCCAAGTTGCCTCAGAATGGCACAAGTTGCTCACCTCTTCATCACTGCAGCTTGCCCAACTTCTCACATTTAAAAAAGGAAGTGAGCTTTTGCTGCCACTTCAGAACTACTTTTTCAACCCTTTAAATGCCACTTCTCCCCTCCTGCCACTTCCTTCCCAAAGGAATCAATTAGGTGGTGTTGGCCACAAGAGAATCAGTGATGTGCTACCAGTTGTATATGTTCCTCTTGCCCATCTTCTACCTTTGCCACGTAGCCTCCTTCTCCAAGAGACACATCTCCACAGAGCTTGCCTCTCCCAGGATTCCCAAAATGGCAGCACTAAGGGGTCTTCAAGAAGCTCTGGTAGTGTAGTGATTACGAATTGGGCTGTGAACCTTAAGGACAGCAGTTCAAAACTACCATCTGTTCCATGGGAGAAAGATGAGGCTTTCTGCTCCCGTAAAGATTTACAGCCTTGGAAACCCTGTGCAGGGTCTCTATGGGTCGGAATCGACTCAACAGCACTTACCAACAACAAGAAAGGGATCTGCAGTGCATTTAGGCAGAAACAGTTTTAGTTCCTCCCAGATTCCTCCCTCTCAACTCCACAGTAGTTGGAAGCTGTGTACAATGACTGATGTTCGTTAAAAGCAATTCTAAGTAATAGCTTTCTTATGCGCTTTAAAGATGAAGGATGTCAGATTGGTTTCTTTGTTGAAAGTTAGGGCAAATGCATGCCTTTGTTTCTTTTCCCTCTCCCAGTAAAAGTCCACACTCTGAATTTATTATCTGATTCCTTCTTAGAGGAATACAATGAAACAACTTCTCTGATAGCCTTGAACCAAGAGTGATAGATTCCATGTTTCTTGTCACATCAACCTATGCACAGTGAAAAGCTAGTTTGATGAATAAAAATCTTGATTTTGTTTTTTGATCATGAAATTGAATTACAGATACATTTTCTCTTACTTTTAAATGTTAGGGAAATGGACTCACTTTAAGCACACAGGCTGAGGGCTTATCATTGCAACCCTATGAAGAGTACATCAATGTGGTGAGACTGGTGCCTGAGAACTTCCAAGACTTTAACAACAAAAGGGAGATAGATCGTGACCAGCTCATGACTGTCCTTGCCAATATGACACATCTCTTGATCAGAGCCAGCTACAATTCTGCTAAAAGAGCTCTCTACAGGTATAGATTGAAGAGGAAGAAAACTTTGACATTATCTTTAGTTATATATTTTAAGCTTATATGTATTTGACTTTTATTAGTGTAAGTATACAGTAAATGAAATTAAATGTCTCCAAAATTATTATTTTTATTAGCATGATTTTATTGAAGATGTAAGAATAGTTGTCCATGACAAATACATCTTTAGAAGAGAGACTTGGTGTCAGGTTCTGAAATGTTCTAGGGAATTAAGAAATGCCTAATGGGTTAACAACTCTTTGGGGTCTGGTTCTCCCACTTCTGATTTTAATGCCTTTAAGTTTTACAGAGTATATTTAAATTAATGTGTCTATCTTTGACCATTGTATTGTTTTGAGATGGTCACATTCTGATGTGCATGGCCAAGCATAAAAGGTGGATGCTGCTAAAGCAAACATAGAATTACACTAGAAGCATTCAAGGTATGAGGATGGGATGGATGAAATTTTCTAAAGTGCTCCAACTCCAAAGGGGTAGAGCCATTCCCACAGCTGTCTATTCCATGAGCAAAGCGCATGTTGCACCAAATGTTCAAGAAGTTGGTGACAGGGAATAATGGTGGCTCCCAGAGAGCCTAATGGTGTAAAAACCTTGTTACAAAAGTCACATCACCATTTTGTTTGAATTCTATCTTTTAAGAACCTGTCTTCCTTGAGGTGTTTTAGGGTATCATCTGTGAGTATATAAGTCCTATACCAAGTCCTGTGTGTTTGCAGACTTGATTCTGTCTCTCTGGATACGGCAAACCCTAATGTTATCGACTTGGACCTGGCCACTGAGGTAGAGCACTGTGAATGTCCCCCAGGCTATTCGGGTATCTCTTGTGAGGTAAGGCCTCTCAGTCCAACTATTGTCTTCATTTTCATTCTTGCCTAAGTGGGGAATGTGCATTGAAGGTGTGTAATAATACATATTTGAATTTGAATTTTAGAAATGTAATACTTGGCTCAAACTATTTGGGACTATCAGCACATCTGAATATTTATAGGAACATTGAAATTTAAGGATATAACAAATGAAATTAGCTGTTTAAAGAGAACTGATACCTCTACTGGGTGGGATGGACACCTGGAAATAACCTGATTAAGTGCTGCTCTCTTACAAGAAGTGCTTTTGTAGAAGTCCGCATTCTTTAATTTATTATTGAGTTAATTCCTTTTTTCAAAATACAGTGAACCAACTCCTGTAAAAATCCTGAACCAAGTTGCATAGCATGGTAGCACCAACAATGCATTGAAGTGTTTCAGAATTTGTGAGAATGACAGAGAACTCAGCAATATTTCTTTCTTTTGAGCATATGTTTGTTATGAGTCAGAACCTACTCAACAGCACTTAATGACTTGAGTTTCAAACACAACACAAATTTGTTAAGCTTCTTTTCAGTATATTGAACATTTACTACATACCCAGCCAAAAAAAAAAAAAAAAAAAATCAACAATAACAAATGTTTGGTATATTAATGCCCTGTCAAACGCAAGTGGCAATCTAATAGATATGAAACAATTGAATTGTTATATTATTCAAAGTATTGTGAATAAACAATATAATGGGGGAAACAAAATCCCGAACCAAGAATTATAGACCCCATCATATTTCTTGCCACCAAAACCCGAGCACAGTGAAAAATTATATTGCTGGATAAAAACCTTGATTTTATATTTTCATCATTAAATTGAATTACAGATCTTACAGCTGCATCTCCTACAGTGCTTTCTCTAGGAAACTAGAATGTTGAACAGCTTATATGTATCATAGTTGTTATTTATAAGGAAAATTGAGCCTGGTTGCTTATAAATGCTGTTGTAGGGAAGAAAAGGACCCCAAATTCAAATGTATATTGTTTGTTGCTGTTAAGTGCCCTCAAGTCTGTTCTGACTCATAGCGACCCTATGTAGGGTTTCCAAGGAGCAGCTGTTGAGTTTGAACCACTAACTTTTAGGTTCATAATCCAGTGATTATCCTACAGCACCACACTAGGATTCCAGTGTCTACTCTGTTGTTGTGAAGTGCCGAGTCAGTTCAGACTCATAATGACCATATGTATAGGGTTTCCTAGGAGCATCTGATGAGTTTGAACTGCCGACCTTGCATTTCAAACCACCTTTGTGGCTCAGTGCTTATGTTATAGAGACCATTTTATTAAGTCTTAAGACAAAAAACAAAGACAAATCATCTGGATGAGAAAGACTATCAGCATTAGATGTCCAAAGGGTTCATATCCGTGTGGTCAATTTATAGGGCACGGAGAACGAAGGAATTTCATCACAGAACCTCACATGGTGGCAGATCAATTCAACTGCCGCAGGCCAGACCATGGAAGGAAGTGGGAATGGGATTATTTCAGTTTAGAAGAGTTTATAGAATCGGCCCTGAGCCCCTCAGGGTATGACTCACTGCAGGATAATGCACTGGACTGCAAGGTCAGTTTGAGCTGCAAGGTTGGCAGTTCAAACCCACCAGCTGCTCTTTGGAAACATCTACAGGGTCACTGTGAGTCAGAACTGTCTTGACAGCATTTAACAACAACAACACAGTACCCCAATTTCCACTAAGGGACACACCCAGACAAGTTTCTGAGAGGGGACTGTCCCTCCCTAGACTGGCTAGGGGAATGGTAGTACATTCACTTTCAAATGCTCTCTGCTGGAGGGTGAAGCTGCCGCTCCACTGTAAGAAGTGTATGAAGTACTCAAGATGGCGACCATACTTAATGACAAGGCTCAAGATGGAGTTCAGGTTCTGACGGCTGGCCGCAGTCCTCTAAAGATGAACTGCCTTTGGATTTCAGACTCTAACACAACATTTACAAGTCACCACATACTTGACAGCTTTAGACAAGTCAGACCTAGTTTAAGAGGCATTTTGGCCCCAGTCTACTTTGGACATGAGTCTGAGAGGTGTGCACACCTGACTCTGAACCACACCTTACATCCGCTGGCCACAGAATCAAATTTTGTTCTGTGTTCCAGATTTTACATAGACATAGAACATGTCATAGGGTGGTTGTGATGAGTAATTAATTACTGCCTATTAGGTGGCTTCTTATAGGTAGAGAAAAGTATCCCTGGTGATCCTCAGTGCCTCTTATGTTCTTAACCCAAAGAAAGCACACCTATGATGTTTGGTTGGAGTCTCCGTGTGTGGTGCTGTAGGCTAAGCACTCAACCGCCAGGTTGGCGGTTCAAACTCACCAGCTGCTTTTCAGAAACCAACTCAACAGCACTTAACAATGTTTGGTAAACGGAACTGGTGTGGTTTGACACAGACCTGCACTTCCATAAGATGTTTGTCATTGTTAAGTGCCATCAAGTCTGTTCTAACTCACAGTGACCCTGTATAGGGTGTCTGAGAAGGGACTGGTGAGTTTGAACCACTGACCTTGCAGTTAGTAATCCTACTCCCACAGCAGGACTCCATAATATGTGTAATAGAACTTAATTAATTTTAAAGAAAGTGGGTGGAGAAAAGCCAAAGTTGAGAGACAAAATCCTTTTGATTGAAACACTGATAAAATGGCTGAGTGTTGCCTAATTGTAGTTTAAGGATGCTGTAGCAGGGCATCACTCAGGTATGTGCCGACTGCATTACCATGAAGTTGTGTGTGAACTTCTACCTATAAAAAGAAGTAGGGAACTGGATTATGATGATAGGTGCACAACTCGATAAATTTGCTTAGCATTGTTGAATTGTGCACGTACATGGGTGAATGTTATGGCGTATACGTGCTAGCTCAATGAATAAACTGTCTCTACCCATGAAAAATTGAGCAGTTGACTCTCCTCATATAGTAGACAGAAGGCTGCTGGGCATAGCCTACTGAGTGGCATTAGAAAGCATGGTCATTCTCCCTCCCACCCCCCTTTATTTTTCTTTTGCAGTCTTGTCTCTCTGGCTATTATCGAGTGGACGGAATACTCTTTGGAGGCATTTGCCAGCCATGTGAATGCCATGGCCACGCAACTGAATGTGATATTCATGGCACTTGCTTGGTGAGTTTATTGCTGAAACTGTGAATGCCTGTCTTTTGGTGAATATAGATCCATTTGCTGAGCAGAAGTGATTCTTAAAATAAGTGTTTTCTCCCCAGGAAGAAGATGTCTGACTTGGTATACCCCAAAGAAAAACTGTGGAATTTAATTTATTATATGAAAAGTTACTTGCTTTCTTTTTTTTTTTCCTTTTTTGAAAAAAAAATTAAGTTACTTTGGTGGGAGTAGAAATGGGATAGATAATTCATTGGAGTTTTGTTTTGTTTTTAATAAGAATAATGAAAAGGCTTATGATTCCCCTTTTCTTCCCCAAAATGTATTGAATGTATTAATTGACCTTTGATAATTTTTCCATGATTAGGATTATTGTTTTTTTCTATTAGGATATGTTTATTACCTTTATACTTAAGTACTTTTTTTTTTTTTTTTAATTGGGAACTGAGTGATATAGACATGGGAGAACATTGGCTATAAACAAGTCATTTCATTGCAATGATTACAATCTCCTCCATTCTCTCTGGGTTTTGTTTTTGTTTGTTTTTTGGTGGAGGGAGAGATGGTCACAGAAACACTCAAGAATATATAATAATTTAAACAACCAAAGGGCACATTCTGCAAGCCTGCCTCCTGGCCGCCAGTACCCAATCCCTCTCATTCCATGTATCCAGAGTCCTCAGCTGCTCCCTCTTTCCATGTCCTCATCTCTGCCTCCATATTTAAATTCACTTCACTTAAAGGCAAGTAATTATTTACCTACAAAGTTTTAATGTCACATAAAAGTAGAATATGTTGATCACTAGTTAAATTAAAAAGGACTGGAGCTTTTAAATAAGAGCATTTGTATTTTAAGCATTGTTGCATTATATACAATTAGGAGAATAATACAGCTTCGAGCAGTCAGCTTCATTTATGAAATATATAACAGTGTGGCGCTGTAGGATAAAGCACTGACTGCAAGGTCCATTTGACCACAAGGTCAGCAGTTCAAACTCACGAGCTGCTCCTTGGAAACCCTACACAGGGTTGCTAAGAGTCCAAACTGACTCGACGGCACTTAACAACAACTGTTGTTGTTGTTGTTAAGTGCCGTCGAGTCGGTTCCGACCCATAGCGACCCTGTACAGGGTTTCCGAGGGTGTAAATCTTTACGGGAGTAGAAAGCCTCATCTTTCTCCCGCGGAGCAGCTGGTAGTTTCGAACCGCTGACCTTAAGGTTCACAGCCCGATTCGTAACCACTACGCTACCAGAGCTCCTACAGCAGTTGTTAATTTGGATAGACACTTTAAACAAGTAACTTTTCCATTATGAGTTGAAATTGAGCTTTATAAATGTGCATTTTATTTTCTTGAGAATGAATTTTGGAGCAGCTACAGGGAAAACCTTAGTTTCAAACTTCCATCAGGTATTCTTTAAGGGCCTTAAGCCTAGAATCCTGGCCACACCACACTCCTGGTGCAAAGGAATCCTGACAGAGTGAATTCTGATGCTAATCAGTTACATTGTATTTACTATGCATGCTCTTTTCAAAGAGATTGGAGGAGCCACAGGGCTAGATAAATTCATGATCAGACCCTTATCTGTGCCCTGCATGTTTATTCTACCAGATGCCAAGTTTTCTTTGTCTGGTATTCATTTGAGTAAGTATGAATTGCAAGAAAAGATGCTTTGCACACAGACCTCAATCCCTTTAGAATCCATTCCATCAGCTTCTCTACTTGTTGTTATGTGCCTTGGAGCCAGTTCCGACTCACAGAGACGCTATGTAGAGTTTCTGAGACTGTAAATCTTTACGGGAGCAGAAAGCCTTATCTTTCTCCTGCAGAACAGCTGGTAGTTTCAAACTGCTGACCTTGAGATTAGCAGCCCAATTTGTAATCTCAGTGCTACCAGAGCTCCTTTCTAACTACTTGAGGATGTTGTTTTTCCCCCATGTAAACTACCATGTAATTATTCACAATAAAACATTAATTAAAAAAAAAAAAAGAAAAGAAAGAAACATTTAATTCCTCCTTTTTAAAAATGTAATTGTTCATAGCTCTTGTCCTTCTCTATAAGTACCCAGCTTTCCGGAGTTAACTACCTATTTATAGTTTGTTAAAGAGAAGATTCTAGTTGTTGTTGTTGTTAGGTGTCTTCCAGTCAGTTCTGACTCATAACGACCCTACACACAACAGTAAGAAACACAGCCTGATCCTGAGCCCTTCTCACAATTATTGTTATGGTTGAGTCATTTGCTACTGCCACTGTGCCAATCCATCTTTATCAAGCGTAATGTCCTTCTCCAGGGACTGGTTCCTCCTGATTACATGTCCACAGTGTGAGAAACAAAGTCTCGCTACCCTGGCTTCTAAGGAGCATGCTGACTGTACTCCTCCCAACACAGATTTGTACTTCTGGAAGTTCATGGTACTTTATAATACTTTTCTCCAACACCATAACTCAAGTGCATCAGCTCTTTTACGGTCTTCCTTATTCGTTGTCCAACTTTCACAGGAATATGAGGCAATAGAAAATACTATGGCTTGGGTCAGGCACACTTTAGTCCTCACACTGACATCTTTGCTTATTAACACTTAAAGAGGTCTTGTGCAGCAGACTTACCTAATGCAATATGTTTGATTTCTTGACTGCTTGCTGTTTGTTTCCATGAGTATTAATTGTGGATTCAAGCAGAAGAACTTCCTAATTATTTTCCCCAAAAGAAAGAAAACTCAATCTGGTCCTTGAATTAAATAAAACATATCAGACACTTGTTGCAAGTGAACATAACCAATATTTTTCTTTAATAACAGTTATTTGCATACTTTTTTAGCTCAACCTTGTAACTATTTGCCAAGGCCAGTTGCATTTGGAATTGATTTGGGTTAATTACCAAAACCAAGGTAGTATGGAGAATAGAGAGGAAAACAAAAAGGATCTAAGATTTTGCTACTTGCAGTTTTGTCTGGTGACCAACAGTGTTTTGACATCACCAGAAAGCTTTTGAGAAAACCAGAATTTCAAGCCCCCATCTCAGACCTATTGAGTCAGAGTCTACTTTAATCCAGTTGATTCCACATTTAACTGTGGAAATGCTGGTACCAGATAACACTAAATCACCATTAAAATCAAACTGTGAAAACCTGCTTGCTATAAAGTGAATGTAGTACGAATGATTCTATGGTGCCACACAGGTTTTAGCAGAGCTTCCAGACTAAGAAGAAAGACTAGCAATCTATTTTAGAAAATCAGCAAATGACAATTCTGTGGATCACAATGGTGTGATCCTGTTGTGTGTGTGGCTGCCATAACTCGATTCCAACTCATAGCCACTCCGTAGGACATGGAACAGAGTATGAACATTCAGTTCCAAAGGGATCCCACAGCTGTAATTCTTCATGGAAGCAGACTGCCAGATCATTCCTCCCTGGATTGACTGGTGGGTTCAAGTCCGCTAACCTTCTGCTTAGCAGCCAAATCTTTAACCATTAAACTACCAGGACTTCTTCATGGGCAATTCCTACTAGCCCTTTCGTTGTTGTTGTTAAGTGTCATCAAGTCGGTTCCGACCCATAGCGACCCTGAACAGGGTTTCCAAGGCTGTAAATCTTTATGGGAGCAGAAAGCCTCATCTTTCTCCCGTGGAACAACTGGTAGTTTTGAACTGCTGACCTTGTGGTTTGCAGCCCAATTCGTAACCACTTCCCTACCAGAGCTCTTTAATGTTATGTAAATCTGCTATCACTTTGAAACAATAGAACCAACCCCTACTTGCTACAAATTGTTCTTCACAATCCGGGCACTTGCTGCCTGTGTAGCTTTTAAATGATTGAAAAGCCCACTGTGATCAAGTCAGTTCCATATCATAGCACTCTAAAGGACAGAGAGGAACTACTCCACCATGTTGCCAACCCTGTAGATCTTTACAGAGGCAGATTCATCTTTCTCTCACAGAGTGGCTGTTGGGTTTGGACCCAATATTTAACCCCCTGCACCACCATGGCTCCTTTTTCTTGCACTTTGTTGTTGTTGTTGTTAAGTGCCATCGAGTCGGGTCCGACCCATAGCGACCCTGTACAGGGTTTCCGAGGGTGTAAATCTTTACGGGAGTAGAAAG